GCATAGAATACATATCCTAATACTAAAAATCTTGTCGGCATTAAGTAACCCGTTGAGTGTTGATATGCCATAAAACAAAGTCAACCTAAACACTGATCTCAATCAGTCAGTTAGTGTCATGCGTGATACACGCTTAGGCGATCATGTATGTTTCGATACACGACTGACAAGGCAGATTTTTCTCGCAGTAGGTTGCCATTTCTTTCTGCCTTAGACCAGTTGCTATCCAATTCTATAGAACATGGCCTGTCCTGCTATTTAGTCATAATTCCGGAGCGAAGAAGAGGATTCACACCTTTCCCAAGGGTATTAGCACATAAGTGAAAATCCTGATCTACAAAGAATACATTTAGCAGACCGTGGGTTTCCGTGTTACTAAATAAAACACGTGTAAGATTCCTGATAGAAAATAAAGTCCACTACAAGAATATGGCAGACTCAAGTAGTCCAACTAAAGAAATGTAAAGAAAACACACAAGACCAATATATATCTACAAACAATTATATGTATTAAACAACAACAGAATTTACAGTAGACAAATACATTAACAGGTGTGTGTGGAAATTTCATGTGTCAATGAATGTTCGTACGTACGTGTGTGTGTGTGTGTGTTTCATGGAGTTTTCCCACATGTGGGAGAAACAAAGCCAATCTCCGCGAGAGATCACATTTGTAAAGTCAAAAAATGAGGATGAGAGAACGACGTATTCAAGTATGCATAGTTTAGGGGTAGCGTCCCCTAGTGGACAATGTGGACAATTTGGAAATTTAGGAGGAGTTAACTTCGACAACATATTCTATTCATACGAATCTATTCTAAAAATCTTGTCGGCATTAAATAACCCACTAAGGTTGATATGACGTAAAACAGATGAAACCAAAGCAAATCAGAATCTCTAGAAAAAAACCCCTCTTTACAAAAATACGTCAATGAAAACTGATCTACAAATTGATTTCTTACATAGAATACATATTCTATTCATGCGAACCTATCCTAAAAATCTTGTCGGCATTAAATAGCCCATTGAAGTTGTTAAAATGCACTAAAACATAAAAATCCTAAACTTAATCCATTACCTGCCATAAGCCCCATTTGTGGATCTGTTAAAATTAAACTCCCTACATGTTATTCACATTGAATTGCTTACATACATTGCATATGCAGAGGTATATTTTACAACACTTAGCCTTTAAAGTTTTTATTATTAGCCGTAAGAAGACACTTTCTGTCTAATTTTACATTTCACGAGTCGGAAAATAATGACTATTTTGAAAAGTATCTTTTTTATTATTTTTATCAATATTAGTTTTGGATGTTTTATACTCATATATATTTGATGTTCTAGTTTCTATAAAAACGACAATGGTAACTACTGAAATTAAACATAAGGAATAAATGTGCTTTATATACTGATCCCCATTTGGGGCCCATGGCATGAAAGCATTACAAAAATCTCTGTACTAGTCTACAACGAGGCATAATTTATTTACTGTTATTTTTTCTATAAGTTTTGCGATATTACTGTTTGTGTGCTATAAAATCAATGTGTTAATTGAATTACTTATCTTTTCAGAACCTTTCATGATGACAAAAACTAAATTTCTATCTGTAGATGAAATAAATAATCTATTGAATGATCCTGATTTTGCGAAAGAAAATCCTGATGGTGATAATTCACCAATAGATGTTGATAATTTGTGTAGTTTTTGATGAAGATGACATTGATTAAGATGAATTTAGTGATAGTTTGCCAAATGATGTGAATGGATCTTTAGAATTACATTCAAATTGATGCAGGAGAATGTTCAATATCCAGAGTTCAAGTTCAACCTGCAGCTAAACGTCGAAAAGGCAAAACAAAATCAACATCAACGCGGAATACATCACGAGGAGATTTTCATATTGAACGAGGAAATTCTGATGCAATAAATAGAAGAGTCACTAGTATAGAAACGTATTTCACGGATAAATTTCCTTTGTAGACATTTGAGATTCTTTTCGATGAAGAGATGTCATAACTCATATTGCAAGACAACGCGTTATGTACGCTGCTCAAAATAGTCACCAGAACTTCGCATTCTCAAGTGATTGCTTGCGAAAATTTGTTGGAGTTCTTCTTCTAACAGGGTATCATCACTTGCCCCCAGAACAAATGTATTGGTGTGAGAATGAAGATGTGAAACTTCTATTTGTTCGTGAATGTGTTACGCAATAGATGCATTGGAATGAAACAGTATTTGCACTTCAACGACAACTCTACACTTGGAAAAGGAACAATTGATAAAACCTTCAAGACAGCACCGATAGATGTTGAATGAAATATTCGTAAAGTTTGATGTTTTTGCAAAGCAACTCAGCATCGGTGAACAAATGGTGCAGTATTATGGTCGCCATAGTTTGAAACAATTTATAAGAGGCAAGCCGATAAGATTTGGATACAAGAACTGGGCAATATGCTGCCCTAAAACAGGTTACTGTTTTCATGTTGACTTGTATGAAGGAAGTGAAAAAAAGGACATGATTTACAGTTTGGCATGCTAGTTAACATTCGTGTCAAATAGCTGTTGGTTCTCAAGCTGGCCAATAGAATCTTCCTGCCTATTCGTGGCAGCCAGCTATAGGCTCTTATTCTGGCCAGTAGAAAATGAAAACTGCCATAGAAGCATGAAAAAATCGATTATTTCCACTATCAATTTACAGTTTGGCTTAAGTACTGCAGTGGATTTGAATACAGTTTCGCAGCTTCATACTCCTTCGAACCACCTATTGTACTTTGATAATTCTTTTACAAGTTTTGAGTTACTAAAAATACTAACAGAGAAAGGTGTTTCAGCTTCAGGAACTTTAAAGAGTAATCACATAAATAAATGCCCACTTGTTCCTGAAGTGAAGAGCAAAGCCAGAGGTTTTTATGATTGAAGACTCGACTCAGAGAACAAAATATTTGCCACTGTTTGGAAAGATAAAAATAATCTAAGAATGTTGTCAAATTTTCAAGGTGCATTTCACATGTAAGTGTGAAACAGTGGAATAGAGAAATGAACAAGAAAGTAAATGTTCCACAGTCCAAATGCATAGCTGATTGCAACAGTCATATGTGTGGAGTAGACAAAATGGATCGGCTGATAAATAAGTATAGAATCAAATTCGCGCGAAGAAATGGCATTTTCCTGTATTCACCAATCTTATTGGTATGGCTGTTATGAAAGCTCATGTTCTTTACTGTATGGCAAATGAAAACATTCTTCTTGAATTCAGAAGAATTGTTACAGTCTATATGACTATTTCATCTTTATCTGACGCAAAGAAATTAGTTCGTCCCTCTTTGGGTAAGGCGTCCGCGAAGCGTGTGCCAGATGAAATCGGAAAGAGTCTGACTGGA